CACCTATGAGCAACACCCCATACATTGTGGTTGCAGCACTGTATGGAGGTGCTGTGATTGAATTCTCCTCTGTTCTTCTGGTAATAGACTTCCTTCTACAAAGCATTGGAGTCTAGCACCTGTGGTTGTGGGTCTGGCAGAGGTCTGAAAGAGACGCCGGGAGTGTTCAATGGCTGCCAGTTTAATTTATATAGTGGCATTTGCCCTCCCCCTTTCCAGTCCACCCCTAGTACACACCTCAGTTTAGACATAGTGTCAACACGTCCCATCTTGTAAGAGCCAACCTCCATCAGCAAGAAGGATAGCATCAATTATGCTTGCAGCACAGAACAGTACCCTGGACCTTGTGTGACAGTCCATGGGAAATGGACACTGCAGTAGTGTCCGTTGGACACGAACCCTGTGCGACAATTTGTGGGACATTATGCAAAATCCACTTCAGAATCCAGGTCCCTGACACTTGGCAGCTATGCATAAGGGGTATACAGGCACAAGAGCTGAACTTGTTAAGGGCCCGTTCACACAAGGCCATTGCGGTAAGGTCTCATTCACACTACTAAGAGTTGGCCTGTACAGATCCGTACGGCGTGCACGGCCATATCGGGTGGAAGGATCCTGTCTGTGTCCGAGCACGGACACCCGCACGGATGCGCAGTTCGCGTGAGCGTACGGCCGTGCACTCCCATAGAGAAGAACAGGTTGCTGCGTGCAATCACATGCCGCACCTGTCCTTCCCGGGAGCGGCCTGATACGGCCATGCTCGCCGGACGGATCTGTACGGGCCGGCTTTTAGTAGTGTGAATGAGGCCTAGCTCATCTCAATAAGCAGTTACTCATGTTATGCGCATTGCAGAGACATTGTTAATGGCACCCCAAACAAATGCACCTATTTTATCCTGTGTAGAGGCACAGCCTAACACGGTGTGCAGCAACACACATGATGTAAATTAAGAGAACAGTGGGCCCATTCACGTTTCACACCATGTGCGTTGGGCTGCATTGGTCAACACAAACACAGCAGAAAAACAACACAAAATCCCTTGTTTCCTGTAGGCTCAGTATACACCATTGCACTGCATTGCTGTGTGTTGGTCAAAAACACTACAGCCCACTGGTGTACAACACATCACAACATGGTGTGATGTGCATAAGATAAACGTATTGTGGCTCCTATTGTGGAAAAAAAAAACACACACACATCAGGGCAATGTGATAGACACATGTAATGTGTAAAATGCAGGTCAACACAATTGCATTTATCGCAGATCAACATGCACTTAACGCAAGGAAAGTGGTGCAAATTCAGCCTCAATGTATGTGTAATTAATAGACATGATGCAAAAATGAGACCTTTCCATGATTTGCACATTTTTTCTTTTTACATTTATAGTTTTCTGGGTTGGTCAGTCCACCCTTCATTCCATAAAAGAAATGAATACACATGGCACCTCCCACACAGCTCAGTTTCATGTATTGATTAGTAGTATAAAGAAGGAGCGAACAGCTACCATGGAAACCGCCTATCACAGGGTTATTCTTCGGCCCTGGAATGGCCAAGCTCTCCTTCCAGGAATGTGATTGGCTGAGCTTGAGTATCCCATATTTACACCCAGTATTCCATGTACGTCACTTCTGGGACACACAGCCTGGGAAAACTGTCGGTCCGGATCGCTATCACTAGATCAGAGGAAGTAGATTCGTCGTTTTGTAGTAGCTGCCAGGTATGGCTGAAGGAGCGGAGTATTCATTCAAATACATGTTTACTAATAATGTATAACAGTGTAAGTCCGTCTGCCGCGCTGACGTCCTGTTCAATTCACAGCTGCGCATTTATCAGTGTGTAGCATGCAGACACTGCCTCCATCTGGAATCTTGTTTTCAGGATTATTTTACATTTGACTTGTTTTTACCCTAATTCCTTTATTCACTTTGTTCCTCCGGGTCTATATATCTCTGTTCTGTTAGTAATCTACCCTTCTGTTTTTCTTGTTGCAGCTCAGCTGTGCTGAATGTTTACCTGTAAAGAACACAATTGTCAGTGATTTCAACTGAGCACTGCAATATTATCAACAGTGTTCTGCTCAGAATTTATTTCAGATGGGTGAGATGTAGGAATAATCAGGAAATAAAATAACTGACAATATGGACAGTTATAGTGTGATGTGGTGCTATTCTGAAAGGCACTCCAATGCACCTTGCAGGCAAAAGAAAGGTGCAGGTCAAATTTCTGGGCCATTGGGCTGCCTAATGCGAAGCATGTCAATGCATTGGGGGAATTTATCAAAACCGGAGCAGACAGAATCTGGGGGGGTTGTCCATAGTAACTAATCAGCTTCTCTTCAGCTTGTTCAGTTAAAGGACAACTATGGGGTCAGTGTTTTTCCCCATAGTTCTCCTTAGGCTAACGGGAGGATACAAACTACTAGCGTCCTCCCGTCACCCTAAGCTCAGTATACCGCGAGCTACAGCTCGCGGTATACTGAGACGCCGGAGCGGATCCCGACATCGATGTCGAGATCCGCCCAGCTGCGTGAGTGACAGCTGGCTCTGCCTATCTAGAGGCAGAGCCAGCTGTACCCTCCCCCGTCCGTTCCGCAGGTCAGCTCTGAATCCAGCCCCTCCCCTGTCACGGCAGAGAGCCGTGACAGGATCGAGAAGTGAGCGAACGCCGGTATGTGCTCGCTGACTTCCCGATCTACTGAGCCGACCTGTGACAGTCTCATTGTCACAGGTCGGCTAGAACTATGAGGTGAGTGAAAAGCACTCACCTCATAGTTCTCCTTTAAGCTTTGGAATTGAAAGGTAGAAGCTGATTGGTTGCCATGGGCATCTGCTCCAGTTTTGATAAACTCCTCTTATTGTGTTACCATGCGTTCATTACTGCAGTGCACCTAAATGGTTAGTTGTGAACATAGCCTTAGTCACTGTTTACACCTTTGCAATTTAAAGCGACCATCAGAATGCAAAACAACAGATGTGTCATAAGACAATTAAGTCACCCCCCCAATGCTGCTTTAACGGCTTACCTTAAATGATGTCTCTTGATCCGATCATCATCTTCTTTCCAGTAGTTTTTAGGAGTTCCTCCAGCGCTGGTGCCGGTCTCTGATCCAGCACTGAAGGCTGTGTCTTCTGTGTCCCACAGAGTCTGTGTGCATGCACGCTGCCAGGCTGCCCGCATTGACTTACCCTGTGTCTCTCTTCTCCCGGCCGAAGATCTCTACTGCGCATGCGCCCACCCCATGATCCTTCACGGCCGCTCGAGAATCTTCAGATCTTCGGACAGGAGCGAGCGGCGGAGACAGAGGTCAGTGATAACCTGTTTGGTAACTTTTTAATTTTTTATGTTTTTGCAAATGTCTACTGCTTGCTAGCAGTAGATATATGCAAAAAAATAAAGTTTAATTCTACTTTAAGCCAATAAGCGCTTCTACTTCGCTGTGCTGCAAGCATGTCCATCTTTTGTGTATTTTAATATGCTGTGAGGCTCATAGAAGTCTATGGCTGTTGCTTCAGGCGTTATCTGTTTGGGTCACGTGAGGGGCGGCAGGCGGAGTGGCATGGCCGCTCTGCTGCACTATGTGCCTTCGACCCCCTTTCCCGCCAGAACGTCCTTGGTTGCTAAGAGGCGGGCGGAGAGATGTTCAAGGCCCATACACATCTCCCCGCTGAGCTCCTTAACCGGCGTCCCACCCAGCTCCTGGCAACCAGTAACATAATTGGTTGCGGATGATGCAGAGGTCACACTTCCACACCCGCCCTTACAGCGTGCACAACAACCAGCAATCCAATCGCCCCACCCCCTCCTGCCTCAGGCGGTGAAAAGGGTAGGGGTGCCCCTGATAGCAATACATGAATATGCAAGTTTTTTCATACATGATGCACTCTCTGCTCTGTATTTGGATGAATCCGGTATCTGCGCCTCTTGTGTCACTTGTGCTCCTCCTCGTGTTAAATAAAGATAGCAAAAGTTACTGAAGCAGCTGCAAAAAGAAGTGTAAATAGAGACATTGAGATCCGATTTCTCAACACAAGACAGATAAATCTGGGAAGTAGATCCTTCCAAAAGTCCACAACAATGTCACTACAGGAAATCAATCCTCATTGGCCAAACCAAAAAAAGGCATGAAAACACATAAATTAAAAAAAAAGCATACATGCAATTAAAAATGCAATCCCATAACGGAAACACACTACAACACATGGTAAAAATGGACCAAAGCAGACATTGATAGATGTGATGTACTTTTGCAATACATTTAAATTTTTTTGCATGGGTTATTATGCACATTTATGTTTTGAACACATATTTTTGTGTATATTTAAATATGTGGTTTTGGCTCAGTATAAGATAGAAACTAGGTATTGCACATTTAAAAAGCACAAAACTGAACGCTAAATACAATTGTTTTTTTTCCATTTACTATTCTTTTCAATGAGGCTGCTTAAAGATACCCTGTTAAATACAATTTTCAGATACACTTTTTTGTTTAATTATCAATTTTCTAATTTAAGCATTGATTTTAACATCATAGGGCTCATGCCCTCTATGATGTTTGTATTTTTACCGGTATCATTACTTTTTGAGAAAAAAGGGTGTTTACCTTTTTTGTGTAAAAGATTTTTTTTTCTTCTTCCTGCTTACAGCTGAAGTAACCAACATTTGTCCTTCCATGAATAGGCCTCTAAAGAAATCACACCGTTGTTTCCGTGCAGGAGAAGAGCCAATAGACTGACTTCTCTGGTGGCCTGTGTGTCCTTCCTCCTCTCTGTTCTAGCACTGCATCTTCTGTCAGTGTCGTCAGCATTTGTCAGTTCCTGGAGTATCAGATGTATGTGTCCCTTGCTACCAGTGGCTCCTTCCTCTAACCCCTAAACCTGGTTATACACTAGTAGATTTCCAACGTTCATAAGAAAGATCTTTCTTTACCACCCCTTAAAGGAGAACTATGAGGTGAGTGAAAATCACTCTGCCTCATAGTTCGAGCCGACGTGTGACAATGAAGGTCGGCTCAATCGATCTGGAAGTGAGCGAACACATATCAACGCTCGCTCACTTCTTGATCATCTCCCTGCAGAGAGCAGTGACTGTCAGTCATGGCTCCCTGCAGGGATTCCCCCCTTCCAGCTACGATCCTCCAGCGCTGACTGGAGGAACGGATGGGGGAGGGGAAGGGTACAGCTGGCTCTGCCTCTAGATAGGCAGAGCCCGCTGTCATTCACACAGCTGGGTGGATCTCGACAGCATTGTCGGGATCCATCCCGGCTGCGGCGGTCTCAGCATACCGGGAGCTGTAGCTTGCCATATACTGAGCATTGGGTCACGGGAGGATGCTAGTATATGTCCTCCCGTGACCCTTAAGAGAACTATGGGGAAAAACACTTACCCCATAGTTCTCTTTTAATGCCATTAGACACTTGACGAACGTCGATCAAAATTTCGTTTGATTTTAACACTCGATTTTGGAATGAATGGAGTTTCCCAAACAAAAACTACATACTCTGTTAGAATTTTGTTCGATCAAGAAAAAATTTCCATCCTGCTCCTTTGAGTCTCTTTGTCTCTATGGTCAAAATCGTTCAACTAATAGAAAGTCGAATGGAAGATCTTTTGTATGAAAATTTGTTCAGAAATCTAAACGTTGTATGGTCAGCTTTAGTCCTGTTGTTATATGGGAGTCTGAGACAGCAGCCATGGGGTGGGATGTACAATCAATAGAGGGAATGTAGCAGACACACTAGACACACTTCCCAATGTGCGCCCTGCAGTTTGACTATTTTGGGTTAGGGGGACACACTGGAGTCCCAGCGTGCATTTTTGGTTGCTGGGCCTCCAGTGCGTCCCTGCACCTTATCAGGACGAGTTGGCTACCTCCAGGTACACCTGCATGTAATTTATCAACTTCATTAATATGCTCACACTTGGAGACTCGGATACATAGAGTTAGGACCACACTTTGCAGAAGTGCCTTGGCGCGGCAGTGTGGCTTCTACATATTTTTGGCCAAAAGTTTGTGCAACTAAAACCTCTGATTTTAACGCATACTGTTGACAGGGCTACTTGTTTGGTTGCAGGCTGGCTGGCAGGTTGAGGCTGTGGAATTTTTGTGTTTTGTATTATAGTAATGTAGCAGACACAGGCCACCAGGGAGGGAAGTATAATGGCACTTCTCTTGTAGGTACTTGGCGGTTTTATTTCTTTAGAGAGTTGACAGGGTGGGGGGAAAATTGGAGTTGGCCTTTAAATAAGAAGTGATCCCTGGATCAGCTGCTTCTGAGGTTGATGCTGATTGGTTGGTAGAAATTAGCTGCAAAATGGAATCAGATAAAAAATAGAATGCAGAGATGAAGTAATACAAGAATTAACTTGGCAACAACCAGGGTCATTTAAAAAAAAAAAAAATTTTTGATATTCTTTGTATAAAATAATTTCTGTATTCATGTGTTTTTATTTCCCCAGAATGCCAAGGATAAAGACTTCAGGGATACGGAGAATAAGGACAAAAGTGCTACCTCAGAGGGTTGCTGCAAAAAGAAAGGAAACCTACTTGCAGGTTATATACTGTGGTATTTAACTGTTTAAATCTGACTTATTGTATGTGTAATAAAATAAGTCTGAATATGTTTTCTTTAAATGCTCTAAGTTAAAAATGAAAGAATGCTTGCCTCTTTAAAGAACGCAACCATATTTTAAAATTTGTTATTTTCCTGTCTGGAATGGCACTGAGTGTCAGAGACATTTCTGAAAGTGACACTAGACTCAGAAGTAAAATTTTAAATATGCATTCAAGTACCCTAACTATTAACAAAATGTATCTTATTTTTGTATCAGTGGGCTTTAGATCCTCAAATCATCTCTGAATTCCTGCTGCTCCAAGCTCCCTCTTGGGATGGACTACAATCTCACGTTTAGTTTATTAATTTGTATCGAGATTGTAGTCTATCACAGGAGCGAGCTTTGAGCGGTGGCTACTTTACATCACACACACCGGGCCATGTAGAACAAAAGTAGTCACCATCCAGAAGGAAGGACAGTGTCAGCACGAATTCAGAGATGATTTGAGGATCTACAGCTGAGTGATTCACAAATAAGTTAAATTTTTCTTAATAGTTAAGGTACTCGAATATATTTTTAAGATTTTACTCCTGAGTTTAGTGTCTCTTCAACTGTGAAAGTAAATGTAATCTGGATTCTAGCTGAAGCAGGTTGGGTAGGACTTCTTTTAATGTTCAGTGGTTTGTCCCTTGGTATCTAAACCCAGTTCAGCAAATGCAGTGGTTCTGCATTGGATGTTGCAGTGGTACATTCACTATCATGAAAGTGGTTGTCAGATTGGATACATTTGTGTCTTCTCTACACTGTCAGCCTGTTGATTGGACAATGAAAGAGCAGCAGCAGACTCTACTCGCTTGGTCTCTCCCCCTATCAGCATGTTCAGTTTCAGCACATTCCCATGCAGTACACCTGATTGGCTCCCAGTGCCGCCACTGACACTACCAGTCTGAGTGCTGTTGAGCAGGAGATTGCAGGAGGCTCAAATTACTAGTTACTAAGTACTAAGTATTACTAAGTACTATTAGTATTATTCAAGTACTCATGCCAGTTGTACTGAAAAATACATTTATTTTAATACATAGCTCTCTGAAAACTATACTTGGAGTGCAACAGTACTATTCAGTTTTTCCAGTCTGTGTGCTCTCTTCTTCTTGTCCCTGCTTTTGCAATTTATTGCTGCAATGAATTTCTAAGGAGCTGCATTTTGCAAGTAGAGGGTGCACGGACCGGAAGCACTAATCTAAATGTGCTGCTGGGCTCTCTGCACAGTTTTTGGAAAGACATAACTCAAAAAGGATAGCACCGAGGTAAGTTTAATGTGTCACTGTATTTTCTAGTTATATTTCCTAGATCTCTTCTTAATTTAGAGACTAGAAGGCACAGATTGTCGTTTTCATCACCTTTGGCAGCAAGAGGCAGTAGGAAAGAGATTTTTAAATGAGATTTTAGTTAATACTGATTTGTTGGTTACTTACTGTCAAATGATAGTAACACCCATTTAGGAACAATTCTGTTTGCCCAAATACCCTTCACTGTAACACTGCAAGTGATAATTAGGAAATACATTATCGTAATGCTGTTATCAATAATTGCAGTATAGATAACTTCTGGAAATTTGTGTGCACACAAGAATAGTGGCAGTCATTTGAGTAAAAACACTGACAATTACCATAATGAGGGAAAGCTCACCCCATGAAGGCATTGATGTTCTGCTAGCTGTGTAAAATAAGGCGGTTACATTTGCTTTCTTCTTGTATTATAGGAAATGTGTACCCATATGAAAAAGTTACTTTTGGTGATTTTTAGCCCCCTACAGACTTTGAAGATGTTGCTGTGTATTTCTCAAAGGAAGAATGGCGATATCTAGAAGCAGACCAAATTAACCTTTATCGGCAAGTAATGATGGATAACTACCAAACAATCCACTCACTGGGTAGGCTGAATGATTTCATCTATAACAACCACATGATTTGGAGATAAACCTTTGCCTGTAACATATGTAATCTAAGCAGTCATAAATATTTATTAGCATTAAATGTGTTAATGGCTGATTTACTGGCACAAGGATGCTTCTGATAAATTCTTCAAAATCAGATGCATACTCTGCAGGGGAAGGCGTCGGAGTGTACTTGCATGACTGTAGGGAAGATCAGAAAGACGGGAACTGGCTACACTAGCTAAAGAGAATTCGGATGATAAAAATTAACTCTAGGAGCAGAGGTCAGCATGGTTCTAGGCTCTAGACATCTGCCGGAGTTGACCAAAGTCAATGTTGGAATTCAGCAAGAACAGACCAAAGTTCGGAGCTCCACGTAGCTCTTTGCAAGCAGCGATTGATGTCGATGCTCAGTCCCACAGCGTTAACCCTTCCACAGGGAAAACCTACAGGGAGCTGGACATTTAAAGGCACTCTATGACCAATGTAAATGGTTTTGCTCCTGCTGCTGGGCCCAACCAGTCTGCTTATGGAGTGAGTCTTTAGAGACCAAGCATGCACTGAGACAGGGCTAGCAACTGTGGACCTAGAGAGTGCTCTGGGGCTATATTGTTACCTAAGTGGAGTCTGGAAAGCTCTCTACATGGAACCCAGTGCACACTTCCTAGTTATCTATGCAATGTCCAGTCCAGCGGAGTCTGAACACTGCACTACAAAGGTCCTCTTAAATCATGTACTTCCTTTGCATGGTTTATACCTACATTCAAAAAGCATAGGATTTGTATAACTGGATTCTAAAAAAAAGGGGTTGTAGTAGTGATATGTTTTGTAGTAGGTATCGAGCTTTACTAGCATCACGTTTACTTAGAAATTACCTTTTGCACCTTACCAAATAACCCAATATGTTGATTTTTAAGTATACAAAAAATATGGCATTTACTGAGGGTGGTGACAGAATTTGTGTCATTTTAGTAGATCAAAAGGGGCTAAGAGCTGTCGGTAAACCTGTGCACAATGAGATTAAGGGATTGCTTTGTTTTCCCTATCTTTGGAGAACCATACAATCCATGTTTTTGGAGAATTGTTTCAGTTCTCCTGAATACCACTGATACTCTCAGTTCAACAACGTTGAAGTTTTGTTTTATTTCTCACTGTTTTCTTTACAAAAATGTATTTCATGTTTTCACTTAGGATACCAAAATGAAAAACCAACTTTGATCTCAAAAATTGAACAAGATGAAGATCTGTATATGACAGTATTGGAAAAACATTCACAGGGTCAGTTTGTGGGACATGTATTAGAGTTATATGTATTATATTTAGCTGCGCTGTGAACATGTCACCTTGTATAAGCTCTGTTTCTAAGAGAGAAACAGATATTGTATTTTGTTTTTTTTTAATTAATACACCACTCACCCTCTCCATACTCTAGCACTGGTTTCTCCATGCTTATTACTCGTCTATAATTTGGTCCTACAAATACAGTTACATTGATTGATGCATCCACGAAGAGTGAGTGATCACATACGATTACATTTGGTGTGCCGCTCAAATGCAGCGGCTGTCACCCGATGATTAACTTGAATGGGTGACAGCTGCCACTTGTAAACAGCAGTTTAGGGATTCCTGCTGCAGGAAATTGCAAGTTCCTGACACAGGAATCCCTAAATGCACCTTCATGGTGCAAATAGAGTCTTAGGTTTCTGAGTCAAGCTGGATTTAATTGCTTTGCAGAGTGCTGTTAGTACAACACTGGCAAAGCTTTCACAGAAGGGGAGAGGACGGGAAGACCTGATCAATATTCTGCTCCTTCACTGTCCAGTTTACAGACTGAGGGAGAAGAGGTGACTTAAAGGTGGACTATGAGGTGAGTGCTTTTCACTCACCTCATAGTTCTAGCCAACCTGTGACAATGAGACTGTCACAGGTCGGCTCAGTAGATCGGAGGTGAGCGAACACATACCGGCGTTCGCTCACCTCTCAATCCTGTCACGGCTCTCTGCCGTGACAGGGGCTGGATTCCCCTCCCCTGTCACGGCAGACTCTGCAAAGTTTTTTTATGAAATTACAATCTTTTACTGGAAGATATTTATTGTGGAAGAAAGCACGTTATAATTAATTGTCATAACCACATAATTTGTTTACTATTCATTTTTGTTTTGAGCACTTTATAAATGCTGTTTGGAGATTCATTTACATAAGCTAATGAGCTTATCACTGCTGCTGGGATATTTGTAGGGGTATAGTGTGGATTATTTAGTAATATATATTACTTAGATTTATAGATGTAGTGTTTTTTAAAAAAAAAGCAGAGTTTGCAGTTTGTGATTTTTCACCACCCTGTGCAATCCACATGTGTCTCTTGGCTCTTTTTCTTGACACCCTGCAAATAAAGACTATGCATTCCCATATTTAGAATAAAACTATTTTTGGGTTGGTAAGGTACTCACGTTTTTCCCTCTTGTAGATGCCCCTGGATTCATCACAAAAGAGCTCCATACATCTCTGTTAACACTTGAAGGACTGAGAGTGAAAGACATACATTTAATAGATGACCTAGAAAACAGTACAAAGACATGCTCTAATGAAAATGGGAGTCTACCCCGCAGACGTCAGTACAACTTCCGAGACCGAGTTGCAGTGGAGTACACAATGTTTTATGATGATGAAGATGAAATGAGAAATTGTAAACCTCACAAGAGCTTGCAGAGAAAATCAAGCTATGACAAAATTGTAGATGTCCTCCGATTTAAAACGGAACAGTTACGTACAACACCTGAGGAATTGACGGTGCAAGAAATACACTTAACAGGTCACCTACAAAATAATACAAAAACATCCGCTTATAAAAATCGGAGTCTGCGTTCCAAGCGTCAGTACAATTTCCAAGACAGGGGTGCAGTGGAGGACACCATGTTTTATGATGGTAAAATTAGTAAGCCTAAACCTCAGAAGAGCTTGCAGAGAAGGTCAAGCAATGGCAAAATTGTAGATGCCCTCAGATTCAACATGGAAAAGATACATACATCTTTAATGCCTGAAAAATTGACAGTGGAAGAAGTACACTTAACAGGTGACTTAAAAAATAATGCAAAAACATCCTCTAATGGAAATGGGAGTCTGCCCCCCAAACATCGGTACAATTTCCGATACAGAGGTGCAGTGGAGGACACCATGTTTTATAATGGTAAAATAAGTAAGCTTAAGCCTCAGAAGAGCTTGCAGAGGAAGTCAATGTATGGCACAATTGTAGATGCCCCCAGATTCAACATGGAAAAGATACATACATCTTTATCACCTGAAAAATTGAACGTAGAAGAAGTACACTTAACAGGTGACCTAAAAAACAATACAAAAACATTCTCTAATGGAAATGGGAGTCCGGCCCCCAAACGTCAGTACAATTTCCGAGACAGAGGTGCAGTGGAGTACACCTTGTTTTATGATGATGAGGTGAGAGAACTTAAACCCCATAAGAGTTTGAAAAAAAAGTCAAACTATGGCAATATCCAACCAAAGTGTGGCAGATATACTTGTAGTGAATGTGGGAAAAGCTATAGTCAAAAACCAGGGCTAATGAAACATCAGAAGATCCATACTGGCATTTCTATCTATGTTTGTTCAAAATGTGATAAGTGTTTCACTCAACGTGCTAACCTCAAGAGACATGAGAGATGTCATTCTGTAGAGAGACCCTTTGTCTGTTCTTACTGTGGAAAAGGCTTTACTGAATCTTCATCATTACTCAAACATCAGAGAATTCACACTGGATTTAAGCCATTTGCATGTTCGGAATGTGGCAAGACCTTCAGCATAAGTACCTACCTTATTGTCCACCAGAGAACTCACACAGGAGAGAAGCCATATGTCTGTGCAGACTGTGGGAAAAGCTTTACTCAAAGTTCCAGTCTCATCACACACCAGAGAACTCATACAGGCATAAAGCCGTATGCTTGCATAGAATGTGGGAAGGGCTTTACTACTAGTTCCCACCTTATCACTCACCAAAGAATCCACACAGGAGAGCGTCCTTACCATTGTGGGGAGTGTGGGAAGGGCTTCAAACATAGTACCCATCTTGTCCTACATAAACGTAAGCATACTGGTGAGCGGCCCTACAAATGTGTTAAGTGCCCACGGACCTTTGCCCAGAGACCTCAGCTTCTGAAACACCAACAAAAACGTCATGCATATGAATAGTCTTAGGAATAAACTGTTGTATAATGTCTACTAGGGATGTCCCGATGCCACTTTTTCAGGCCCAAGTAGAAGTATATCCCCTCATGTACTTGCCGATACCAATTACTGATACTTTTTCTTAAAGGGACAGGTGACTTTAAATGATCCATAGTACAACTACATATTATGTACTATGGATCATGATTTAACCTATTCATGTTAGCAGGGGAGAATTGTAACTCTATTGCTGGAGTGTAGTGGAGGTGTGTGCTGTATATATGTACTACATATACATTACACACGTCCAGTACACTACAGCAATAGATTTACAGCCAGCCCCGTCCCAGCTTCCCTCACTCACAGTTTCACTCCGATCCCTGTTGCCTCAAGCGGTGCCACTTGTAGTCGGCGCTGGGCAGGATCGCTGCATCAGGTCTCGGTGCTCAGCTTGTGGGAGGCGCTTGCAATTCTGCCCTGCTAACATGAATAGGTTAAATCATGATCCATAATACATATACAGCACATACGTCCAGTACTCTGCAGTAATAGAGTTACATTTATCCCCTGCTAACATGAATAGGTTAAATCATGATCCATAGTACATAATAGTACATAACATGTAGTTGTACTATGGATCATTTAACCCATTCATGTTAGCAGGGGATCATTGTAAATCTATTGCTGCAATATACGGGACATTTGTGCTGTATACGTACAGTACATATAGATATACAATTCTGCGCTGCTAACATGAATGTGTTAAATGATCCGTAGTACAGGGCTACATATGTACTACGGATCATTTAACCCATTCATATTAGCAAGGGATAATTGTAAATCTATTGTTGCAGTGCATTCTATATGTAGTATATAGTACATGTATATAGAGAGTGCACTGCAACAATACATTTACAATTATCCTCTGCTAACATGAATGGGTTAAATGATCCGTAGTACAGGGCTACATACAGATCATTTAATCGATTCATGTTAGCAGAGGATAATTGTAAATGTATTGTTTGCACTGTACTAGCAGTGTGTACTCTATACTCTATATGTAAGACATATAGAGTACATATATACTGCTAATGCAGTGCAGACAATACATTTACAATTATACTTTGCTTAATAGTAAGGACCCCCAATCTGCCCTCACTCACTGTGTTCGAACACTGAAAAGAGCAGCAACGAGTCAGCGTTGGTCCGGTGGGAGGAGCTCCAGGTGGGGGTTCTAATTTAGCTTTTAATCCCCTTTTATTTTTATAATATACAGCAGAATAAAAAGTAAATAAATATGATAAAACCGACAAACACCAATGCATTCCCCCAGGTCCATCAACAAGGCCCTTATTTGGAGGGGAAAAAAAGGGGGTTTCCGGATACACTGATAAAAATTAAACAAATTTATATTATCTATTACAGTAGAAGTAAACTTTAAAATCTACAATTTGCCCACATGTAGGGTCTTTTGGTAGAAAATAATTTATAAGTCTCTTCTGCCAAAAAAAATCCTTTTACTTCCTGCTAGCAGGGGCGTCGCAGAGCGGTTACCGGGTGTCACCCCGTCGAGATGTCACCGCGCATGCGTATGACGTCACCACGCCCGTGCGCGATGATGTAATCGCGCACTAGCGGCGATCTTCTGATACCTGCCGGCGTACATCTTGGTGATGGACGCCGGCAGAGAGAGGAGGGGACAGTCACCCGGCGGGATAAGGTATGCCGCCATGTCCCCTCCTCTTTTCCTGATACTGTCGGGCGTTCGGTCCATGACCGAGCGCCCAACTTTTCAGGGGGGGGGAGACACCAAAATGACTATCAGTCATTTTGGTGTCACCCCTCCAATGGTGTCACCCGGGTGTGGGCTGCACCCCCCTTGTGACGCCACTGCCTGCTAGCATTTAAAAAAAAAAATCTACACTGTAGTGCAATGCGCAGTAAATGTAACTCAAGCATGGAAGTTAAATTATCAGTACCTGCCCAGTGGGGTAAGCAAGAAGAAGGCGACCTGGCAGAAGAGGAAAAAATAACATGGCAACAGCGGGAATGATATGAATGCAGGGAGCTGGCACCTTACATCGCTGGAGGAGGCCAGACCCAGAGGTGTGTCTTAATGTACACATATGCTGTGCATATTTAGATATTCTGGATGTGTCATCACAGTTATTCGGCTTTAAAAGGTTACCTCCTGTCTTTTTTTTTTCTTTTATCACTTTAATGTTTTCGGTATGTAACGAAAGCAAAAACAAAAGTGCAAAACATACTCAACTTCTGTGTCCCTTCTGCCCTAACCACCCTACTGCCCCATTAGCAAAACATTGAAAAGAATTGTGAGAGTGAAGCAGATAAAGGAAACCTGTCACAAGAGAATTATGTATAAAACTATTGCTGACTCTGAAGCCAGGCTATCATCTCAATTATATTGATTCAGTATTTTATGCCTGACCTATATACAAAAACACAAAATAAAGGGGTGATTCTTGGAGCATTGTTTGTAAAAAAAATTGTGTCTAATCAAATGTAACTTGCTCATGCACTTGGGTGGATGAACCCATGCAATGTATGTTCTGGTATATTTCTCCCCACTAGAAAGCCTGAGGTGCTGTGTACAGCCTCCTATAGAACTCGATGGCTGTACGGGGATATACGCCGGACTTGCGTAAACACATGCATGCATACAAATGCACAACCCCGAATGCAGACAGATGCAAGTCTGGCGTATACCTGCTTCCAACCATTTACTTCCATGGAAGACTCTTCTCAGCACCTGAAAATATGCTGGATTTTACGTTGTATGAGTTCAAGGTGTGTGTGTGTGTGTGTATATATGCATGCCTTAAAACCTGCTCACCTGAAGCAGTTGCAGGCAGCAACACCATCTAGTGCTCCAAAGCTTAAGTTCCTGTTCACACCTTTACGTTTTGTCACGCGTTTAACGCTCTATGAACGCTCTACAAAACGTACAAACTTGAAAATCCCATTGTTTTCTATGGGTATGGTTCACACCTTTCCGTATTTCAGCCTGTCTGAACGCACTACAAAACGGCCTACGCCTAAAAAGGTACATGAGCTTCTTTGGGGCGTTTTGGTCTCGCGTTTCTATTGGGATACAGCCAAGTAGCCCTCGGAAACGCGCGTTTGTCTTACTGCGAATCGTGGTAGAAACGCGCAACAAACAAGGATTTCCCAGCCCGCGGAACAACAGACAACAGTTAACTCCGTAGTTAATTCTTTACACATCTAAACAATGGCTGTCACCATGTTTTAACAAAACGATTGCTGCCACTACATGTTTTGATGAAAACCCAGCAAATGCTGTGACAATTCAAAATGTAAACAAAGCCTGTGATGCCACTGTCTCTTAAGACAGGAATATGACAGGTTTTACATTATGGTAGCACTCATCACAGAGACTCGGATAATTTGTAAGTTCTTATTTAGAGTGTAGAGATCAGTTTTTTTCAATTTTTAATAAAGGAAACAGTACTGGAAAAAAAATCTACACAAAAGAAGATGTTACAAAAGAGAGACAAATATAACAACAGTAAAATTAAAAGGGAATAAAAATATGAGTACATAACAAGTCCTGGGTTTTGTGAGTTCTAAGAGTCCAGTTCAATGCAACAGAAGATAGATCTGGATTGGGCTCTCAAAGTAAGACAAAGGGTTGGTTCTTGATGATAATGAGCTTCTTCATGGTACACAAGATTCTTTCTGATGATCATTCGAGATGCCTCCAGCTTCCTAGTTAGCTGCTTTTCGTGGGTCCTCTAGGGTGTGTCAACTAACAATCATGGAGGAAGGAGCAGGAGGGCTGAACATTTTATGACCTTCTCCGCTGCCCCTCTCAGTTTTATATCAATAACCATTTTTCTATAGTTTCACATTTTACCACAGTATAAACCATTGATTGTTATGGAATTAGCTTTGTGTATACTACATTTGATGTGCCTGTGAAGTATTTCTGTCTCCGAAGTCTAATGTGTGGATTTTGTTTGAGAGGATGCAGCTATACAGTATATATGGGGTTTTTTTATGCATCATCTCTAAATTCAGAGTTATGAATATTGAATGAAATTGGAACACACGATTATTGGTAGAGATGAGCTAAGGGCAAGTTATTTCGTTATCAGAGCAGGCAATCTTTAGGAGCTTAGCTGAGATGTCTAGTGGCAATTAATTGGTGAGTGGTTTATGATGCCCAGCAATAAAAGACCATTAGGGCTATTTCACACCAGGCATAACGAAAGCTGAATAAACCACTCAAGCCTTAGTGCATTTTGTAAGGTCTAGCAATCAATAAAATCTATAAAAATCAAAGCGGCCAGATTAGCAGATATCTGGTGCTGGAAATTGAAGATGGCCTAAACAAATGTAACATACAGTATCTGTGTAAGGGGAGCCTGATAAAATTCAAACTAGAAGTGGGGAATTTCAGCAAAATTAGTGCAAGATGACATTTCCTTATTAATATTAGGGTGCCCGACCCCATTACCATCACACTGAGCTTTGTATTCTGGGTCCTGTGTTAGCCATGTGTGTTAGAACTTTGTGTCCTGTGTTAGCCATGGAATGCTTTCTGAGCCCAGAGCCATGGCACAGGCCAAGGCGTGACCCAGTCTATGAAGACTCCGTGAGTAAGGATGGTCGAGCTGAAGCACCGGCAGCTATCACCATTTGTCACCTCGGTCATCTGAAACCCTCATCAGCACCAGCTGCCCAGGTTTTTGAGTACTTGAAGCCTTGCTTATATTGGGCCTAATTGCATTACTGCTGCAACAAGTGACCTCAGGCCATACTCCCATAGTGGCTCTGGTGGTGTTCCAGTATCCCCAGAAAGAACCACGGTTGGTAATCTGGAATCTTGTTATAGGGTTATCCTCATTTGAGTCTCCCTGAGCTCCATCAGGTGTGGCCAAGGCCTCCTCCATCACTACAAGGACATCCACGTTCACTTTGGACTTTTTAACTGTTTGTGGTCAGCTAGTGGAGCACTCTGCTCGTAGAACCTGTAAGTGTGC